CATGTTTGTCTGATCATTTTATTATTTGGTTTAGCTTTAGTTATAGTACGAGTTTTACAGCACCTGCAATGCAAAAATAGGTCATGTAAAGTGACTAAGATTAGAGGAGTTACTAAAGAGTAACACATCAAGAAAAGGAGGAGAGAAAAGGAAGACAGATAAGGAAGATATATGTTAGATAGGAAAGAAAGAGTAGACCATATCAGAGCACCCACCAACCACTCGCTTTTATTCTGAAAGGCCGAGATACTGGAAAAATATTCTACCCACTCTGGTCTCCTGCACTACAGAAACCACCACACAGGTATCTACCTATCTGTGCGTATCTATCTGTCAATGTGTGAGAATATCTACATTTCTCAATCTGTATGTAAGATCTATCTGTCAATGTGTGAGAATATCTACATTTCTCAATCTGTACGTAAGATCTATCTGCCGATGTGTGAGAATATATCTACATATCTCAATCTGTATGTAAGATCTATTTGCCAACGTGTGAGTATACACAAGCGCGCATGGACTGTATACACAAACGTTGAAACAAGAGACAAACTGCCAGGCACTTATTTGTGACGTGTGGGTGTAAGCTGTCATGCCAACAGACACACACACACACACACAAACATACACACACAAACATACTCACAAACACAAACACAGACATAATACACACGGATACACACACATTAAAACACATCAACTCTAATGAATACACATGCATACACAAAAACACACACAAGTGTAAATAAACATACTTAAAATGCACACTACTGTCATACACAAGTCAGTATTACAAACACATTCGCAGAAACATTATACATGCATACACAAACACACACATACACACACACACACACACAAACAACAAGTCAGACTGGCGTGCAAACAAACGCCAGGACCACAGGGAAACTTGTTAAGAGGAGAAAGCCCCCAAACAAACACGTCCTAAATCAGACACTTGGCCGACACATTAGAGACACACACAACACATGACACAACACATGAGGCGTGTCGTGTAGTAAGACACACAACACACACGAGACAACACACACAACACACGAGAGACAAGACACACAACACACATGAGACAACACACACAACACACATGAGACAACACACACAACACACATGAGACAACACACACAAGACACATGATGACACATGAGTGTCCGTGTAGTCCCAGAAGTCTGTTGGTCAGTGTTGACCACATGCATTTCAATTTCTAGGACACCAGCTCTATGTCAGCACTTCATCGGAGAACATTACTTTCCTTATAATCCTTCCTACTCCTATTCTTTCAATATCTCCTCTTCCTACTCCTATTCTTTCAATATCTCCTCTTCCTGCCCCTATTCTTTCAAGATCAATCCCTCCTCTTCCAACTTTTGTCCTCCCATCCCTCACCTTCCTTTACCTCATCCGCCTCTCCCACCTCCTTCTATCTCTATCCTTCCATCTCCTATTCCACCAGTCCCTCACCTTCCTATCCCTATTCCTCCAATCCTTCATCTTCTTCCTCCTCTTCCTCCATGTCCTCCTCTTCCTCCCCCTATTCCTCTAATCCCTCCTCTTCTTACACTGTACATCTTTCCCCATCTCCTCCTCTTCCTCTCCTATTCCCCTATCTCCTCCTCTTCCTCTCCTATTCCCCTTTCTCCTCCTCTTCCTCTCCTATTCCCCTATCACCTCCTCTTTCCCTCCTATTCCTCTGTCTCCTCCTCTTCCTCTCCTATTCCTTCACTTCCTCTTGTTCCTACTACTACACCCCCTTTTGCTCATACCTTCTTATCCTTGTTCCCCCAATCATTCACCTTCCTACTTCTTCTCCTCCATCTCCTTCTCTTACAACTTCTGTCTTCCATCTCCTCCTTCTCCCACTCCTTTCATCCCTTCTCTTCCTACTCCTCTCATCCCTCCTCTTCCTATTCATTTTCCTCCATCTCCCATTTTTCCTCCTCCTGTTCCTCCAACACCTCCTCTTCATACTTCTTCCTCTTTTAATTCTTTTTACCATCGACATCAATCCAGTGAAGACATTTTGGTGGGAGACTATGTCAAAGCATGTGTTATATATATAATATGTGTGTATATTACAATATAATGTCAGTGGTACAAGGCGACTGTCGGCGTGCACCATGCCACACGAGCGCTGTGCACATGCACTCTCCCCCACACCCC